CGCTAGCTTGCTGATATTAGGAGATGCCCAGTAATAGAAAGAGGGTGCTACCAAGGGAGCACAATTGGTTCGGAAGCTACACATGTCAAGGAAAGCATAAGTGACAGAAGATTAACCATCGACTTTGGTACGGGAAGCAACTGATAAGAAAAGTGGTATGTTTTGCTGGTGAGCGTTTACCATTCATGAGAGTCCGAAGAGAGTGGAGTTGCTAGTTAAAGAAGTAAGAAAATGACAAAATAGCCAGCTACGAAGGTTATGTGGAAATTAGGTGGGGGAGAGTGCCACAATCCGATTTTTCCCATATCCATGTGGGTTGAAGAATGGGGCTCCGTGGCATCAAAGAAATAAGAGAGATGCAGAAGGGTTGACACTTCCGGATGGGAGTGGAGTGTTTTTGTGCTAGGAACCCAGAATGGGATGATTATCTTCTTGAAGGATCTTTCAAAGCAAGTTGGTCCTATGTACAAAACAATAGGGAGATGATGTTGTTCTCTTAATTATGGCAACGGCAGGTCGTGACTAGTTATTATGCTGAAGTGATCTGTATGTTTGGCTTGAAGAGACCGGATTCAAGCTAAATAGAGTGTGGTACAATTGGATACAAGGATGCGATTCGCAAAACTGTCCTCGAAAACACCTATTTAAGTAAAGTTATTCTGGTGCTCTCGGCTAATCAAGCAAGCATCACGGCCTCATCCTAGGCCAAAAAACTCTTTGCCCATACCCTCCTACTACGATAGATGTATCAATATTAATTGGAATTTCATCATAGAGAAGTACCATAAGATGTACAATCCCTTCTTTGAAAAGTATGAGAAGAGGCTAGTGGAGCGACTCCGAAGACCTAGACACCCATCCAGAGCCTTAAAAGCACGTGTAAGATGTTCTTTTAAAGGAGGAATATAGAAGTTACTGCATGTCTCATTTTAGTAGACTCATACCAATATAATGGATATTCTAAAGAAAAGTTACAGGGAAAAAAAAGTTGCCATGGCTTAGATATCGTTCTCGAAAGAAGAGCAACGTCGTCAGGGGAAAAGATCAATAGACGAGGCTTGGATTTCTTCACGAAAAAACAAAATATTCATCATGATAGTTGAAATATTCACTATTTTATGATAGGCAGACTCTATTTTAATCTCATTGATAATGAAAAGTAATAACACAGACTGTGAAGTTTTACGCGAACACTATAAGATAATTCAAGTTCTTCATTAGAATTCTACGTTCTAGAAAATGTATCGATAAATCATGGGCACCTCAATTTCTTGAAGTAGTTGATCATGAAAGGAACCAAGTCATCACATGCACAAAATTTTAAAAAGTTTTAGTGAGATTTAACTCAAATAAGAGTCTTAAAAGAAGTGCGATTCAAATTGAAAGGATAATCTTACCTATTGAAATTGGACTCCTATCAATTGCCAGGATTTTAGAAAGTTTATTTTTTATTACATAGGCAAGGTATCATAATTCTTGTGAGTAGGAGTTTTCTATCTCATATGGCTCATTGATCAATTTTTGTGGTTTCATTTTTTTTAATAAGTTAACCAAAAGCGAAAGAAAAGAGGATATTCCATGAGCTTATACATATGCATTTGCTTGTAAAGCTTATACTTTAGAAAGTGATTATTATTTTAAAGATTGAGCGATGATCCTCTACAGGTAGATACTGAAGAAACCCAAACCTGCAGACGCTTATGCAGCTCTACAGGTTACTTGAATTATTGTACATTGTGAAGTCCTTTCAAGTTGTTATTAAGGAACGTCCTCATTTTCTGTCAATTCCATTATTCGAGCATTGACAACTACAAGGTGTTAATTTAACAATTGCACGAGGGCTTAAACGCCATGACTGACTAATGATATAGCGATGGCATGTGTCCATTCGCTAATTCCAGTGGATTGAAAAGGTATATGAAGACGAATGTTATTTGCTACTTAAATTGCAGCTCTTTTGGAAAGTTGAGAGCAAACATATGCAAAAAACAAACCTTCACAAAGATGCATGTAGATGACTTCACTTTACTTTGGCCTAGTGTGGCGACCAAGAAATTCCTGAACAGTTGGTATGACAGCTGTTCCTTAAACAAACTGTCCCCCCAACATTTTAAGCAAATAATATGAGACAATATATTGCTATGTTTCCATTTCAATCTATTTTGAGTGAATGCGCCAAGAAGAAGCTTAGGGTACGACTAGCAAGAAAAAGTGTTGTTTGGTGTAGCTTATCGGAAAAAGGATCACTAGAGATTAATGAAATATTTTGTTTGGTGAAGGCACCCAATGGAGACAAATTGTATTCCAAAGTATCCTTTGGTGTGGCTTAGCTTATCAGCAAAAACCACCACAATAAATTAGTGAAAAACTTTTGTTTGGTGAAGGAAAGCAAAGGTGGTGTAACGTAACACTCATGAGGGGAAACGCAAGTCTCCACAGCTTCGTCAAAAGCTTGGTTTAGGAAAAAACTAGAGAAGTCAAACGGTGGGATAACGTGTCCCTAGATACTCATAAAAATCTTGGTTTGGACAGGAAAACAAGTGAAGTAAAATGGTCAATTTCGCTACGCAAGATTTGACCATTCACGTAAATCTTAGAGAATAATGGTAAAGTTAAGAAACATAAGGAAACCTCAAAAAGACGAGCAATGTGGTTATTGGTTAGTGAGTCTCAAAACTCATAAGTTGTTTGAGCGAAAAAAATAGGTATTTAGGATAAGATGTGAGCAATATAAAACGAATGATACAATAGGACGAGTGCGAAGTTTTTGGTGTTAGAGGTCCAAGAATTGTATAATTATTTTACTCACGAATCTTTAGATTTTGTATTGGCCACTCGTGGACAATAGGTAGGGAGTTGATGCCACTCTTCCACGATGCAAGTAGAAACCATTACAAGTCTTTCCTCGAGGAATTGGAAGCTCAAACATAGCAATACAAGTATGATAAGTACTGGTAACAGAATTTGCCGTACTGCTATTAGGAATCAATACGGGAAGGCAGTCTATCTTCTAACTAGCCAGGTACATCACGAGTCCATCACCACCTTGACAAAACCGTTATGTCAATGACTCCAAGCACAATCCCTTCAGGTGTTCAATCTTCTCCATCTACGCTCAACGAAAACTAGCAATGTACATATATGTTAGCCTAGTGTCATGGTCCGATTTCTCCCATTACCTAAATGGGCGTAAAAGTTAGGATTTTGTGATATCGGGGTCAAGAGTGAGAGATGCACAAGGGTTAATAGGAGCGACGTCGGGATTTTGTGCTAGGATCCCAAGGATGGGACGATTATCATCATAGATGATTTCTGAAGGCGGGGTTAGGAGCCAATGTTGCTGTCCTCATTATGGCCATAACATGCTGAAACTAGTTGTTATGTTGAGGTCATCTGTAAGTTTTGCTCAAGAGATTGGATAGCCGAACTAAATTAGGTGTGGCATAGTCTCCTATGAAAATGCTATTCGCTATACCATCCTTGGGAACCCTGGCTCATCAAGATCATGAGGCGCTGCAGGGACTCATATCGATTAGGAAGCTTTCATCCCACAACACAAGTGTACCAATCCAACTTGCACCTTCCTTATATTCAACATAAAAAGTTTACAAAGGTCCTTGCTGAACCACCTAGCTTTCTCCCCAAGTGATTCCTTGCCAAAAGATTTTAGGAGATTGCTTCCCAACTCTTTCCATGTTTGCCACTAATCTTTCTACTTTGTTTTTTTTTTTTGGTAAGGTTAATCTTTCTACTTTGTATATTGCAAAAAGACCAAAATATGTCATGCATGTTAATCTAATTCTCATATGCTTCACAAGAGCACATTCATACTTATCATAATCGTGCAATATTCTTTAACATCTTAACTACTATGATGAAGGTGGTCACGCGATCGTTTGAAACGGTAGCTATCTTCTCACAGGATTCGCATCACCAATACAATTTCCCAGTTCTTTCACCTTTCAAAAATCCTTTCTTCTCTCTAGAGTCTACAACACAACTACTATACGTATGCTTTGCTTCCTAACACTGGAAAGGTCGACGTGGCAAAGCTCAAGAAATCAACAATATTGCACTATAATCTTAACCTTTTTTAACTGTCAGAACGAGGGGATGATGTTCAAGTACCAAGAGAAATTTTGACAAAGAGAATGCTCTCACTGAGAGCCCATACCTAGACCGCACGAAAGTGCCCGAGACGGACGACAATCCATTAACGTCCCGTGGAAACTCTAAAATGCGAGAGATAATCATCTACGAGGCATGCACCGCCAAAGACGATCCACTCATCGCATCCGATGGATGCCAAGGTCAAAGCTGACATGTTTCAGCTTGAATGTCGGACTGAAAGGACGACTCGAGCAGCGTCCCCCGCAAAAAGACAGTGAATGAGGGGAGGGGGACGCAGGAGCCAGCAACGAGTGGTCCAACACAAACTGTGCAAATTCAATAAGATCAATTATTCTCTTCGACGTCATCGAACCCTATCGAGCTTCCACCTTTTTTTTTTTTGGGGGGTCAAAGAGCTTCCTCGTTAAAAAAGCAAAGAGGATGAAGAAGAAGAAGAAGAAGAAGAAGAAGAGGAAGAAACCAGTGGCGTGAAGTTCTAGCAACCGGGCAAAGAGAAAGCGAGTCCCAATCGAGTATTATATGTAGAATCGAACCACCAAATCACGCTATGCACCGCGCAAAAACCGCAGTGCAATGAACAAAGTAGCGAACGAAACGGGAGGAGAATCGCAGTCAAATGTAGCACGAGGCGAGACGGGTCTACTTCGTATCCGTGAAAAGGGGGGACGCCCAATTAATTAATGGAAGAGCCGAAGCCCAAAACAAGCGGAGATTTCCATAAAAGGAAAGAAACCACGGTCCCAAAACGCGGAAAACGAGATTAGAACGGCGACAAAAGAGAGAAGGAATTATAAAAAGAGAAAACCATCTCCGACTTTCTAGAAATCACTACTTAAGAGGGAGAGGGAGAGAGGGGAGAGGGAGCGCACCTGTTGTTGCCGCCGCTGCAGAACACGTACTGCTTGCCGCGGCTGGAGAAGACGAGGAGTGCGACCTCGACGTCGCAGAGGACGGAGAGCTCGCGCGCCTTCTTCATCAGCCCGCCCCGCCGCTTCGAGAAGGTGACCTGCCGGCTGCTGTTGTCCTCGATCCGCTTCATCACCACCTTCTTCCTCCCCATCCCCTCCCCCTCCCCCTCACTCACTTTGCCCTAGTTTTTTGGCGCCGACTCGAGAGCGAGAGAGAGAGAGAGAGAGTAGCCGGCGAGATGACAGAGAGAAGGACGAAACACTCGCAAATCTCTGTCACTCTGTCACTCTCTCTCTCTCTCTCTCTCTCTCTAATCCCCAGAACAAATGAGGAAAAATATCAAAAGACGCGACCGTCCGTTCTGCTCGTACCCCCTCCCCCCCCACCCAGGCATTTATGTTTCGATGTTTTTTCGATTTAAGAAATCGGCCGGCGGAGGGACCGTCGACATTCGAATCGGTCCGTAAAAGGTGTCGTGGTCCGGTAAATGGCCCGGGACACGTGTCCGGCCCGCACGTGCCCCCGGGACGGTTGCGGCTCCGCGAGGCGAGGGTACGCTCAGGCGCAGGCTCAGGTCGCGTACTTATCCCGTCTTAAAAACCGAAGTGACTTTTTTTTTTGTCGTTTTCCCTTTGTTTCAATCGAGATCTCCGCGGCGCAGGGTTATTCCGTTCGGTGGAAAGGTCTTCCGTAGCTAGTCATTCGGGGTAATAGCATAAAACGCCCTTAAATTTTGACTCAATATACAGTACGATTCTAAATTTTTAATTTATTCAGTATAATTTTTGAATTTTATCTTAACGTGTAATGTGATCTCTAAATTTTTAATCCGTTCAATATGATCCCTAGATTTTTGCTATATGTTTAATTTAGCTCCTGAACATTATGAAAATGTACAATATTATCCTTCTATAAATTCTCAAGTCCGGAGATAAAATTGATTATTTTCATAAAGTACGGAGATTAAATTGAACATGTAACAAAAGTCCATGGATCACATTAAAGTTCAGGGACTCTATTGTACATTAAGGTAAAGTTCTAAAACCACATTAAATAAATTAAAAGTTCGGGAATCACATTACACATCGAGTCAAAGTTCGGGGATTATTTGTGTCGTTTTCCCTTCTTCGTCCAACTTGGGCATTCTACTTTGTTGTACGAAGGCACGCCCCCAAAAAAATTATGCTCACGTGTCAGATGTTTATCTACATGCGCGACGACAAGATTCATCTAACATGTGTGCATACCTATCTAGATACATGTAGTTGTTTGACATGCAATTTGGTCAAATTTGAGGCCGGCTGAGTCTCCGATCAACAATTCGACTAGCACTCACAGATGGAGCATCGAGGCATCTAGATTTTATGACCCGAATGGACCCTCCGATGTTTTGATCAGTAACTAAAAGGGGGACGACAGAGCTTGGAGTTTAGACTGCAAAGTTGACCTATGCGTACCAAAACGAGGGGGCTCTTGGGCAAACTTAACTCTTGGTTCCGAGATCGGACTTTTTCTTTTTTCGTCTTTCCTATTATTTCTCAACTCACTCTCAGACTTTTACGTTGTCTCCTTGCAGGGCGTGGGAGTCGAAAATCACATTTAAAACTAAACGTCCCCACCTCTAACTCCCTGAGAAGGTGGGGAATCGAACTCCCCATTTCCCTCTTCTCAAGTAGGAAAGAAGGTCACTGGGGCAAATCCCAGTGGTTCGAGATCGGACTTGTCTAGATCGATTGTATCATATCATCTATGCGAGCTTACAAGAGCTTTTGCATTTTGGTGCCGGTTGGGTCGTCGCTTCCTTTAATTAGATTGACGTGCTTAGGCCGAGGGGTTTCGACGAGGTTTTCTCGTGGATTTTTTTTTTTTTGGTTGATATCTCGTGGAATTGATGGAGGCCTGTTTGTCCAAAATTTAAATTATTCTCGATCAGAATTATCCTGTCAAGAGATTTCTCTATTCTTTTGGGCAAAGTGTGGACACTCACATATTCGTTATTGTCATATATTGTTCCTACCATTTGGTTACGATGAAAGAAGAGCGACGCCTACCGTTTGCCATGTTCGACCACGATCTTTCGAGAAGTACCTTTTTGTGAAATATTGTATTCTTTTTTTTTACCTTCTATTTATTAAGTGGAAAATAATCTTCTGCAGATTTGAATTTTTCGTAAAAAAGTTCTTTAAGACAATTTGTCCTCAACATTAGGGCTCCGTTTTGTTTCGTAGAAAATGAAAAACATTTCCCTAAAAATGATCTCGTATCGTTTGAAATGATTAATCAATGGGAATTATTTTTATTATCGACAACAATTCATGTTTAAATATTTTTTCGGATGATGGCAATATTTTTCGTTCATTCATTTTTTTAAGCGATACAAACGATCATTTTTACAAATCATTCTTTTTTCCACAAAACAAACGGAGCCTTGGATAAAAGATAATGTACTTCGAGAATTTTTATAAGACATTTATTTTGCAACTCGGACTCGTTTATTATTAAAGTATATCTACATCTTAATTACCGGTGGTAAGTCGAGAGTTGGTGACCAGATACAGCAAAACATTTCTTATCTCAACAAGTCAACCAATACCTCTACCTCTGGTCAATACCACAAAAAATCTCAAACTATTACATTTTACCTTAATCTAATTTCAAGTCACAAAAAATAACAAGTTAGTACACCCATATTGATTTTTGTGAAACAAAAATCAGTTTAGGGTAAACGTGACACGATTGTCCTAATTTGAGTTTTTTGGTGACACGAAAATTAGTTTGGGGATAAATATAGTATGAGTGTGCCAGTTTGAGATTTTCGGTAATATTAACTCAAAAGAAAAATTTTTAAAAAATTACCCAGCATAACGATTCGGCCCATTTCCAGTTATATGTGACGTAAGAATGTCTCGCGTGCCTTAAAGCCGAAGAAAGCAGAAGGCCTTTGTAACTGTGGGAAACGCCTGATGCATTGGAACTGCAAGGATGCATTTGGTAACCATTTTATCCCCGGAAACAATTTCTTCTTAGAAATGATTTTTTTTATTCCATTCCCGGAAACAATTTCTAAGCATTTGAAGACGTTTGGTAACTGTCCAAAATTTCTATTCCTGGAATAGAAAAAAAATAGAAATGCATTTGGTAACCGCACAAAATCTATTTTTATTAATAATATTTTAATAATATGTTGAATTTTTTAATATATATATATATATTTTTTTTTCTTCTTCTCCTTCCTTGGCCCTTGGCCAAGTCGCCGGCGAATGGCCACAAGCCAGGGCCGATGAGGGCAAGGGTCCAGCCCTCGCCAGATCCGGTGAGGGCGAGGGTACAGGCCAGGAAAGAAGAAGAAAAAAAAATTTCTTTTCCATTTTTGATTCTGGATTCTGTTCCAAAACTGATTCTGATAATAAATTTGTGCCTGGAAACAAAAAATTTACCAAACGAATTTTTGTTCTTTTTTTGTTCCAAGGATCAAAAAAATAGAATCATGCACTGTTTGGCCAATTACCAAACATGCTCCAAAAGTCATTCTTGATCGTTCGTGATTGGCCACGTTTTGACCGGAACACATCGTTCGGATGTGGGCGAATATCATCAGACAAAAACACAGTTTGTCATCAGTACGGCACAGTGCTCGAGGAGAAAACCAATCATTTTGACAACATATCAGATGATGCAACCCACATGTTGTGTCTCCATATCTGATAGAACTCACCATTTATCGGTGGAAGCCATTATATTCGATCGTCCAAAATGCATTTTAGCCTTCGTAATAATAATTCCCTCTTATCTTTGGGAAAAGTTAGATGCGTAAGATGCGGTCGCGCTTAGCATATTGACTTGTTTCGTGACCGGCACGCGAAATATTGTCGAGCACATACTGTGCGACGCATGAATTTGTGTGTATAGCGATTCATCTACTGAGGGATGAACGCCTATTATAAGCGTGTTTTTGTGTCTTTTTATAAAGTCTGGAAACCGATCGCTCAAAATTAAAGGAAAATTACAAATGGCTTCAACTAGTTATTGGAAAAAAAATCTAATGGATTACTACCCGATTTGAATCTGTCGATACTCCTTTTGCTTAACAGCTTCATTTTTTTAAGAGAAAAGCACACCGATTATCATGGATTTAACATATAATTTGGGTAATTATACTTCTCAAATGCATGCTGCTATTACCGGGTCCATGCCCCTGCTCATTTATCTCCTTCCATTTTGCAGACCTCACCTGTGCTAATCTCCCTATTTGATCAAGCATCTTACTGTACACCTCACGTTAAGTGCCTAGATGCCATTTGCTAAATGATTAATCAAGAAATAAACAAGGTCAATACAACCGGAGTCGCAATCTTGAACAAAAATCCTCGCAGCAAATTAGGAAAAGAGACAACATGGGCCCAAAAGGAACGAGCAAAAACACAATAAGAGGCCCATTGTCGGAAAAATGTGGCACTTGGGCCTTCGGAGAATTCTATCATGTCGGTAAGACGACGGCTGACGGTATGGAAAATTTCATAGGAACCCCTTATATTCGTCACGGTCGAAACCTGGCATTATAGATTAAACGAATTCATAAGGGCGGCAATAATACGTGAACACACACAGAATCACACTATGGATTAATTATTTCCGAGTATTCCCAAACTCGCAATCATAATTTGCATAACTTTATCGTCACATGATCTTTTTCATCGAACTGTCATAGAAAACAAATCGAGGACGATTATATATAAGCAAAATGAGCTTCTCCCCTCATGGCAACCATCCTGGCATGTAACTACTTGAGCTTGGACCTGCTGTGACTACGGATGCAGAAGGATCTTGTGGGTATCTGCAGCCACAAAATTCAACTTAGTTAGGGGCAAAATAAAAACTTTGATATTTGATCAGTGACATGTAAAGAGAGCCATATCAATTCTACATAAAGCCAAGCCCAGATAGAGAAGAAAAAAATATAGTTGAGGGTATTGCTGTGTACTCAATACCACATGATGTATGTGGAGAGGTCATAAAGAGAAGATTAACATTGAGGGTATTACTGATACAAAGACGGGGGAGAGAGAGAGAGAGAGAGAGAGAGAGAGAGAGAGAGAGAGAGAGAGAGAGAGAGAGAGAGAGACTTACCCAATTTGCAAGGTGGGTTCACAGTCTAAGGGATGAAAGAAGACATCACCATGCCCATGATGTGGTGGAGCCAAGTGCCGACCGCCATAAACCATTTCCTCCGCAGCGCCCGGGTTCATTTGCAGTGCAGTTGCTTGGTACCCTTCCATTAGCTGCACAAACCAAATGCATCAACTCGTATTCACCGACTCATACACTAACGCTTATTTTCTTCCTTTCAACCACATTTAAATTCGCACGTTGCTTTTAGCTACTGCTGAGCTCTCCTCAAGATGAATCTTGTGCAACATGGTAAATGTGACCAGTCTTGCAATGTTATATATATAATGTATGCGGCACACAAGCAATTGCATTTAGCGAAAAAAGATGGAGACTAATGATGAGAACAAAGAGCTAGATACTAATCAAAGGATCATGGCCATATAGAGTTTTTTTCTTGTCAAATCTTTCGGTTACTAAGAGAGTTATGCTAAACTATTCTTAGCATGTCTATCATTCTCACCCGCTGCTTCAAGGTCCGGTTCGCTTCGTTGAGGTGCTGCTCCTGCAAATGTATGAAGCTCCAATCGTAACTACCTGAAGGCTAGAAAATAAACTGAAGAGCCAATCTTATCATACCTTGCGTTGAAGATCAGTGAGCTGGTCCAGCATATACTGTGTCTGGTAAAACCAAAGGACAAGGTCACTCAGAAAGTGTATCCATCACAACTTTTATTGTAGCACTAAATTGCATAATAGATGGGCTATCAAGCCTTATTATCGTCTGGCCACATAATAGCAAACTTGGACAAATGCCTCAAAGATTGAAGCATGCACACATCCTTGGACAAGCGTTTTGAATCATGCCCAATTGCCTCAACCTTAAGAGATAGAATGTCCGCTTGAAAAGCCACGAGTTCTTTCTATTAATGGCTGGTTTTTATTTGGAGATGCCTAAACTCTTTGTTATAAAATGCAGACTCTTCTTAATCAAGAAACTTTGAATAGATTAGAAAACACAAAGCGCTGTATATATAGGATAAGAGAAACTGTTTAATGAGTACCCGGGTGGAACGAATCTGCTTCAAGGATGAATCAAGCTGCCTCTCCAGAGACTCCAATTCTTTGCTGCTCAGAGGGCCTAATTCTTCCCCAAGAAGATTCCTAGCAGGGTGACAAAAAAAAAAAAAAGACAATGCACAATCGATGATTAGCAAATTCTATGTGCGTTTATGAGTGTGTACATTACTGATATTGGAAAATGATTCGTGATAATATACCTTTGGGTTCGCTGTAGGGCTTCATAGCGTGCTTTAAGTTTCAGATATTCCTGCTGACTGCTTAACTCCTAATTAATTGCATTTCAAGCAAAGAAACTTGGATTATAGCTCAAAAGGTAATCATACATGCAAGCACAACACTGAATATCCTCACTAGTAAGACGGTACTTTGTGCACAAGTTTGCTTCAATTGAAATGAAACTATGTCCTGCACGTAGCAACACTTTCAAGTGACATTTCGCATTTGATAAAAATCCAACACGAACACCTGGAAAAAGGTACTTAGTTGCATTGGTGAGGTTTATGCAGTTTCCTTCAGATTCTTCCATGCAAAATGAGTGCTATAAATCTCTCTTTCACAAGCATCACTAATGTAGAGTTTGAGAAATGAACAAGAATGCATAACGAGGAAACCAAAAAAAAAGGGTCTAAGCATACTTAGTTTTCAGAGCTTGGCCAACCAGAAAAAAAGAAGACTACCAACTTATGAGGCACTAATAAAAAACAACAAAAGGGACCAGCATCACGTTGCACCACTTTGACTTAGATATCAAACGACACTCTAACTTGTTCACTAGATTTTGCCAGTAGATATGGCAAACAGCAAAATTGAATGTAAATACCGTACTACATTCACCTATATTACTTCCTTTCTCTTTCTTTTTCCATTTTCAGGGAGGGGTTTCATGGATATACGTAATTCAGTTAGATTGGAAAGTCTCAGGAGCTTAGGGATAATACAAGAAGTTGAGCTGGAGCTTTTATAAAATGCCCTTTCTTCCACATTAGTCAATCGGAAACTATATGTGGCATCACAATCCAAAGCGCTAAACTTGCAGGGTTCCATATTCAGATGCATAGCCAATAGCAATGGTAAAAAGTTTAAAAGGATGCTAAAAAGCTTAGCAAACTAAGGGGAATATAAAAAATGCTACACATGTACTAAATGGGTTTACTGTAATTTGTTTACTATCACTAATAGATGGAGCTCGGCAATTCAATCAGATAACCCTACCGGCTACTTCGTTTTGGAACCCATGTTTTGTGGAACTGATCAAACTTAGTCACATGTACATAATGCCGCATAATTTACTGAGAAATTTTTTTTTGTTTTCAATACCCAAGAATTGCTGGAACGAGAAAAACAATATCCTAAAGATGGGATCATGGTGGTCATTACCAGTTGTGCTTCACGGGTAGAGATACTAGGTTCTGGTGCTCCGTAGTTGCATTTCTGATACCTCTCCAAGGTTTTGAGCATGCTGCTTTTCATATGAAGATCAATGAATGAGGAGCAGAAAGTGCAACTACAACTTAGATTGACAAAAAGGTAAAGAACTTATATTGCATACATGCAATCAAAAGCCTCCATTGGAAATTAGGATGGCACGAAATCCTCCTCATGGAATGAAACAATAATTTGAATAATTTTGTACCTTGCAAGGCCATGTTTTCATGTGTAGTCACAAGAAGTTAACACTAGGTTGCCTGAAGACTTGATTGATTGCTTCGCAGTGAGTACTTTATTGGGGGTGTAGACTTATGGTGCAAGAAAAGAGATCTATTTCAGCTATTGAGAAACTCTATGACAGCTTCCCTATCTTCAAGATATATGAGAATGCGCATACTAGATCATGTGTTAAACTCCAGTACTATATGCATGCCTACCCCTTAATTAACTTGTACAAAACAACGATTACACACCTAAAGCAGAAATGTGAGCGTGTGGAAAATGTGTGCAGTACTAGTGTGAAAGTGGTATATACACAGTATATAAAAGCAAGTAAAATGCATGGTCTGTCAAGAGAAATATTGTAGGAGATGTGTTCATAGTAGCATATGACTAGAGTACCACAAGATCAAGAAGTTATTTTGTCTATCCTCTTCTTATTCATCTTCTCAGTTTGTCAGGTACATTTTCTCTTCCCCAATTCTAGACTAAAAAAACAGTGAGAGGATTGTAAACTCACATTCAATCTACACACCAAATCTTAGTACCCACAATGCTTGAGACTATGGAGCTCTCAGTTTCAAATTCTAACAGCCACATACCCCAACCCCAAGAGAAAACTTGCCATACGAAAAAAAGAAATCAACATAAAAGATCGGCAACCAAAACTTAAGTTATAATATGAATACTTAGCCAAGAGTAGTTTATGCAATTATTTAGATATCCTAACAACCGAAGAGGAACCGTATCATTTGTGCTAACATTTTCATTCTTTATTTCCTTGGCAAATAGATTGATGCTCCTTTCACAAAATTGTTCTGTCAAGAAAAAGCGAAACCTCTTTTCGAATTTTATATCATCATTTTAAACAACCAGGATATGAACTTGACAATAGCAAGTTCTTAAAACATGCACGCGACATTGTATCATTAGTCAATTTTGCAACAAATACTTTTGTAAAATCGAGGATATTCTTGGCTTATTAATACGTAAATTCATCCTTGTTTCACTATCATGTGATTGAAAAAATTTCAAAGAGATATTTTATCCAACACGATTGTATCATTGTACAGCCTTGCTAAAAGTAGAGCTCGGTCAATAAATTTGAAACAGAAAAATTCAGGCTTGTCATTTTTCAATATATGACATGCACCCTGTGACTTTTTATCTCTCATTTTTCAACAAGGTCTCGATCAGAACTTAGCTTGTCAAATCCAAATCCTTGTCAGGGTATAATGATCAGTATCGTGCGCCATTTTTCCTATCTGAACTAGCGAAAGCCATCTTTTCAAAAGAGCAAAAGTACAAGATGTATATGATATGCCCCTGGAAATTGACTGATTGATTTGCATTGACTAATTTGCAGGAGGAAAGTATAAAATCTGGAGGTTAATACACGATGCTCCATCAAGTGGTTCCTCAGAAATGGTCAGATTAACCATTGATTTTCAGAGGCACTGGAATTCTTTATTGTTAGAGAGAGAGAGAGAGAGAGAGAGAGAGAGAGAGAGAGATCTGAAGACTGAAGGAAACCCTAGACCTCACGCCAACTTTGGGAAGATGATAAAACCCTAATAAAAAAGTTCATTATACCTGCCTGAGTCCAAGAAACAAAGCATGAGAGAGAGAGAGAGAGAGAGAGAGAGAGGGGAAATTTTTTTGATCTGGGTAACCCAGTTCTTCTCCTACGAATACAAGAATTGAAGTTCCTTAATTTCCGTGTTTTACGGGCAACAATGAACATTGACATGTCTCGCTTCATCGGAGAATGAATACAACTCTCAAATTGAGAGCTCCAAAAGAGAGAGTGCTAGTGGAGGGATTATGGTCAAATGAAACTTAACATGAAGGGAATCAACAGGAGGTACTTGAATAGAGAGAGAGAGAGAGAGAGAGAGAGAGAGAGAGAGAGAGAGAGAGAGAGAGAGAGAGAGAGAGAGAGAGAGAGAGCAAAAGGGTATGTGAGCAAAAGGGTATGTGAGAAAAGCAATCCCTGTATGCCAAAACATGAGAGCAGACCAACGTTTTCAGTCAGCTAGGCTTGATCAACATCTGGTTGCTCGGATCGGACCATGTTGACACAGGAAAAAACTTCGAGAGACATGGAAGTTTCAGACATTGGCAACCGAGGAGGTAAAACAGCACAGTAAATGGAAGAGAAAAAACAAGACTCGGTGACAAAGAAAAACAAAAGGAAAAAAAAAATAGAGAGGAGAGATAAACACGGCGCGTTCGTATTTTGCTTCTTTTTATGGTTTTCCAGTTGCAGATCTAACAACACAGCAACACCCAACCTGCTAAAAACGCCAAGACATTCACGAAAACGGCAAGGCTCGAGCCTGAGCACCAAGAAAGGTCGACTTTTACCTTCTCCCAAAAACCCTCGACCGAAGAACAGAAACCAAACACGACGGGCAACAGCCTTAGTTTTCTCGATGGGTTTTTCCCCCCAGAAAAGTGACGCCGGTTTGATCAAAACACGTCAAGAACGAAAGGCGGAGTTGCGTTTCGTTTTGGTTTCTTTTTTTCTTTCTATCTTTTCGGGTGGGGGTGGGGGGTTATACCTTGAGCTACTGCAAAACTCGTACAGCTTTCCCCTATGGGAGAAGACGATGAGAGCAACCTCGGCGTCGCAAAGCACGGAGAGCTCGTAGGCTTTCTTGAGGAGCCCATTCCTCCTCTTCGCGAACGTCACTTGCCTGTTGATCTTGTTCTCGATCCTCTTCAGCTCCACCCTCCCTCTCCCCATCCTCTCTCTACACCCTCTCTCTCTCTCTCTCTAAGCACAGGGAGAAAGAAGAAGAACAAAAAAAGATGCAACCCCACGATTGTTCTCTTGTTAAAAATGGAACCCCCTCTCGGTTTTCCAACCTCTCCCTTCCTCCTGCCCACTTATATACACAACCTAAACCGAAAAAGGTCTCTGACCGAATGAAATACTTTCGCCCATATGAAACATTATTCGCATTCGATGACGATCGACGATGTCGATGTACATACCTACTTTAATAATTCGAGTTTTCGAAGTAAACGATTCTGAATTTGTAAGTTCATTTTGAGTATTTGAATCTTGGTCGTAAGAAAAAAGTCCATCCCTTAACTCATTTGGTCAAATTTTCATTGTCTTTCTCTTTGGGTGTATGTTGAGGTATGCAAAAAAAGTTATACGTACGATGGCCGTACGGGCAACCAGGGTTCTTGGTTCCTTGGGGTAGCTCTTCTGATCGGACGGTGGAGAAGACGGGAGGGACGCGTGGATGTGCGCGCGTGTGGACGATGATCTATCGTCGGACACGAGACGAAAGGTCCAAACAGCGAAAGGCAAGGAAGAAAGGAAGATGAACGGGGGAAGGTACAAAGCACGTGCCACGTGTCGAGTGGTGAAGTGGGAAGAGACCCCTCTCTCGCTGAAGCCATTATTTTTCGGGTTGGAGGGGAAAATCACGTGACCGAAGATGAATTCGAGCCGTCGTGTCACGCGTTCCAATCGAATTAAAATAAGAAAGGCAAAAAAAAAAACAAGAAAACCAAAGTGTGTTTTCGATTCGATAGGCACAAGATTTTCGGCAATGTCCAAAGTGTGTTTCATGTTGTGACCTTCTGTGGAGCCAGAGCGAATAGTACTTCCCGATGATTACATGCACGATGCGTAAGAGCCTTTCAATTTCGTCTTAAGAATCCAAAGAAGTTGCTCTCTACAGTTTTCGTGCACCGGTCGCTTTTCTCCACCGTGAAAGATCCACCCTCTTTTGCTTGGCAAAGGCACGTAGCACGTGCTCAACACTCGTGGTGTCATGGAGAAGATGTTATTAGTTAGGGATAATCACATAAATAGTCCATGGACTTTGCCCAATGTGCAATATGGTCCTTGAACTTTTAATTTGTTCAGTATGGTTTTTGAACTTTAACTCAATGTGCAACGTGGTCCATGAACTCTGAATTTGTTTAATGTGATCCCTGAACTACTGTTATATGTTCAAACTAGTCCTTGAACTAAGTGAAAGTGTTCAATGTTGTTTTTGAATTCAAATTAACATAATGACAGCATTGAACATTTTCATATAGTCTAATGGCTAGTTTGAACATGGACTAAAAGTTCATGGACCATATTAAACGAATTAAAAGTTTATGGACCACATTGAACATTTACATATGGTCTAGGGACTAGTTTGAACACGCACCAAAAGTTCAGGGACTACATTGGACAAATTAAAAATTCATGGACCACATTGCACATTAAATCAAAGTTCATGTTCATGGACTATTTATGTCATTCTCCCTATTAGTCAATTCATCTGCCATTATTCGGTAATACGTAGAGACGTATACAACCTTCTCTATCATACTCGAGCATACTAATGTGGTGCAACTTGAGAGTAGGATCGCAAAGGTTCAAATGGCGTTTCCATTTTTAGTATGTTTTGTAGGTTCATGAAGAAGCCTGGAGGCACGAGCTAGGACCTAGGGCGAATTGGGGGAGCTTGCGGGCGAAAGAGAACGCTCGGCTACAGGTCCGACCGGGCGTTCCCCCCCCTAAAGGCCCCAAAGTTTTGACCGGCGCCATCACGCGGTGCGTGTATGCCAATGATGAGCATCAGAAGAGACCGACCTCGCCACATAACAATATCGTGACCTAATTATAGGGAAAGTTATCGAAGTAATCTATATTGCCATTAGGAGAACTCTTGGGATATATGATAAGCCATGCGATTTATACTTAAATGATTCATTCGCTCCTAAAAGAAAACATCCAATGTTTATTCTTTCAGACGGTCTTCGTTTTCTGTTTCTTTTTAGCTTCACCAGACAAGACATGCACAGATGATGTGCAGATGCAAATGACGGGCAACGCTTCTATGTTCTTGTCATCCGCGGACGATAATTGAAACGCAAGTAAGAGACAAAGAATGAAAAAACCAAAGTAACATACTTTAAACAACGAAAAAATACAATCTCATAATTTCGAGGTGAGGTAGCAAGAGGTCGATCCGTGACGTAGCCTTCGTAATTCACCTCGCCGTATGAATGCTCTCCAAGACGTCAACTTCACACCAACGATGCCGAATTTTTCGACCAAAGACGACACGCCTTTTGGTTAAGTCCTAAACTCAACGACGTGAGCAGGAACCGACGAGAGCTAGCATGTGGCCGCGGCGAGTGAATTCGGCTTTCGTTTCGGTCCTGGAATAATTGCACCCCGAGCGGACGAGTGTCGGGTCCCGATTGGCTCCCCGCGGCACGCCCGAGAGAACACAAATCCGACGGCCCTCGCTCGCCGGATCGCCTTCCACACACGTACACGCGCGCGGGGAATTTTTCCCGAGGTGCGCCGAAAGAAAGGAGGAAAAAGCAAAAGGAAGAGAAAGCAACCGGACATAAAATTACCGAGGGGGAGGATGTCCATGGAGAACAGCGACTAACACAACGTTGGGTGGGGACCGATCAGGGCAAACATCGAACGCGCCGAGACAAAATCGACACATGGGGTTTTGAGCCGTCGCGGAGCAGCGCGGGGGTGCGGGTGTGTGGTCCAGAGGGTGACAGGGACGTTGGGCAAGTGGGTTGGGGGGTTGATATGGACGGGGAGAAATTATTGACCGGGGCAACGATTTTAATTACGGTATGAAACTAATGTCGGATTCGTGTCCCTTTTGAAATGGTGCACCGAAGCCGATCCCGAATTTTTTCTCTTTCCTTATTACAGTGGTGAAGGGAACCGGGACAAAAAGAAGTCGTCTTCCGAATATGGCTTTGACATATCGAAAGGGGGAGAGGGCAGCCGGAATTTCAGATCTGGTAAAACAAATCTCGCGAAATGATTGATGGGGTGGATACGTATGTATCATATATATATATTATACATACGTATCCACCATTGCTCGCTCTTCCTTGAACAAAGGGTCAGCTTGAGAATGCTCTAAATGGGTATTTCCCGAGCTCCCCCCCCACCGAAATTTCTTGATGTTCGGAAGCCCTTCGTGCTTAAATCCCGCGAGGAAATTTCGGAAAACCACGTCCGAAGTTTGAAGGGGGTCCGTTTCGCGTCCGACGAAATTACCCCGAAGCCGCCGGCACCACCAAACGGCTCTCGAGCCGCTTTCATTTGAAGCCCGGGGATTCGATCTTGTAGAATTTCTTTTCAAGCTCGGGGCTTTCTTTTTGAGAGTTCAAATTCAACGTACGTGGAGAGAAACTCGAGATCTAAAACGGATCCCACGAGATTACAGAGGGGAGGGGAGGGGACCAGAGGGTGACGAGGAAGCGAGGGGGGGATGAGAGAGATGAATGTTGCTGTTGGTGCACTGCATTTGCATTCAATGGTGGACGATGATGAAGTGTTTCTGAGGGGGCGGGGCCCCGCCCCACTTACCACCACCAGTAGCTGTAGCTGTAAGTGGGTCAGAGGGAGGTACCGTTTCCGGACAGGCAACGTCAGCATCGCCTGATGTAACACGCGGGCCATTTTCCGTTTCGGGCAAAACTCCTCTTTAAGGAAGTCTTTTCGTTCCTCCGCCTCGGAGCGAGAGAAGAGATAAAAAGAGACGAAGAGATAAAAAGAGAGATTTTTTTGCCCTCGCTCCCACTCCAATTGTCCATTTTGTCCAATCGCTTCTGTACTTTTTCCCACCTCAAGTCTCTCTTTTCCCATTCGGTCCTTCGCCCGACGGACAATTCCTTCCTTCTTTCCGAGATCTGAAACTGTTCTTTTTTGGGATCGTTCATGCATGAGGGCGATTCGCTTCGCTCCGTCGAAGATAAAAATGATGTGCGGGGGTGATTAATAATGCATCCTCGGGTCATTTATCGGGGCCACGCGATTGTTTCGCACGAACGAGCAAACCCACCCACGACCTCGTTCCTTGCGGTCCCGAGTGAGAGTTGATTTTATTCGGAGAAGCAACTTTTCATCTCGTGGTTTTGGCTTTTTCTAAAGCGACTTTGTTTAGTAAAATACCTTTCGGGGGGGGCTAATTTAAGTGCTCCGAGTGGCATCGGTCGGTAGATATCTCATTTGTCGCGTGAAAATTTGGTACCGATCGATGAAAGTATATCGGAAGGACGGTCTTCCAATAACAAAATAAGTTGGGTTTTTTTGCTTTTCGGAAGACCTAGTGTGCTATCGGTCTCAAGTTTCAAACAAATGGCTACCACATAATGATTACTAAATTAGAACGTCTATATTGTTACAGGTCTCATTTTCCAATGCTAACATAAAAGAAAGTAGTTTGGAATACACCGCCGACATAAAGAAAGAGAAAATATCTCGCACGTGGTGTCATTCGCCATTGATTTTAAGGATTACAACCACCTTTTCTCTCAAATCAATGGCGTGTGATAGGGGCGAGCATGATTTCAGGGTAGAATCAAGAACTGGATAATCAGACTAGTGGGAATCGGTTCATATGCAGAGTAGGTTCCAGTGTATGCAGGGTAGGTTTCAGATTCTGAAAATTGAGAAACCGATTCTGACAGACAGGCAACTTAGAACAAGTCCTTGTGTTTTTCTTGTTCTATATTTTCGCACAATCCTGCGGGATTCCATGGTGTCTGATGATGAGTGTGTAATTTGGAATCACTAGTCTGAACTTCTATTTCCGGTGATTTCCATGAATGAGACTTTTACTTTATCAATGCTTTATACTTTTCGTAAGTCTAAATATGAGTTGTGGTCACTGGATTGTAGCAGCAAATGATAGTCATTGGAAGTGATGATTCACTGCAATCGTTCAATTAAGAATACAGGTGGAACCCGAGTAGACCTTAGAACCCATGATAAGGTAGATTCAGGTTTTAGAGTATGTATGGTACGTTCAAGGTTCCAAAAAATTGGGAACCAGT